CTTGTGTCCCTGTGCCCTGATTCCTGAACTCACTCCGTACTTGCTCCTGGTCTCTGTTTGTCATTTCTCCTCAAACACGCAGGTCCCATCAGGACCCATCCTAGACTATCCTGTAAAAGGGAAGTCTTAGGAAAACGTTCCTAGGTGGAGCAATGTAAGACTGTACAGCTGGAAGAGACTCAGAAGCCACATGTCCCCAGGTTTGTCAGGGAGTCAACTTGTGAGAGAGGAAAAAGGAGAGATGCCAGGGGGTCGGTAACTTCCGATCTTATGTCTGTCCATAATGAAGCGCAGCTGCTCAGTTCACATGTGAGAAAGCATGCTTCTCATAGACACACAGTAGGAGGCCTCACATTCTCTGAGCCCCCAAATTCTCATACATCTATCTTGTGACACATACACCTGACTGGTTCTTTGAAGAATTCAGGTTGGCTGAAAGATGAAAGATGCCAACTGTGATTGAAAAATGCCTTTGGAGGAATCAAAGGTACCACACAGGACAATCTTCTCTCTGTTCTCTGTGCAGCGGAGTTACCCAAGCCCTCTGTCACAAGCAACAACTCCCACCCTGCGGAGGACGAGGACTCTGTGACATCAACATATGAACCAGAGACTCAGGACACAACCTACCAGAATCCAGTGAGCACCAGCCACAGTGACACATTCACCCCGGATATTTCCTGTGAGTAACTTCTGTTCCCATGTCCCAGGCTGTCAGCCCAAATCCACGCAGCCAGAGTCCAGGGCACTCAGTCCCTCCCACGTCCAGATACACAGACCTTCACTCCCGGACACACAGGCTGGCCATGTCTTCCTGCCCCGCGCCTATTCGGGCACATCCAGCCATGAGCCAAGAAGAGGAGGGGAGGGCTTGCTCCTGTCTTGAGAGGCACAGGATCAACAACAGGTGATGGGAGGAACAAGTGAATGTCTCAGACTCAGGCTCAGTGAGCACAGGGGTTATAGTTGGAACTTTTTAAAAAATTTTTTCATTGAATCATAATTGATTATATGTATTTTGGGGGATTAATGTTGACATGTTGATCAAATCAATATTAGTAGCATATATATTGTTACAATTCATACTTATTCTTTACGCCCCTTGTCCAATCTCTCCCTAGCCCCTCTCCCTCTCCCCTCCCACCTCTGATAACCCTACATTTCTTCTCTCTTTCTGAAAGAGTAATAGTTACTCTGTTGATTTCTTGCCTAGATCATCTGTCCAATGCTGAAAGGTATGTTTGGGTCCCTCAATATTATTGCAGGGCAGATGCTTCTTCTGTCACTCTGGAACGGGCTTTGTGGAGAGAGACATTCTCTTATTTTCTTTGGTCTCCGCTGGTGACTCTCCTTGTGTCAATGCACTGCAGTGGCCAGCAGACCATCTGCATGATGGTTGTNTTTCAAGCTGACTTTAGCACCTTCCTTTGATCCTACTGTGATCCTGCTGGATGTCAGAGCTCTGCCTAAGACCTTACCCTGCTCTGCAGAGATAAAGTCCTCTCAGGAATTGGTTCTAGATCCTGGGTGCTAATAACAATGTTCATGTATGGCAGAAATTTAACTTTTCCAACTTTTATTTCACATCCACCAAACACACACGGTCCATACAGGTGCAGTGGGAGAACGGACATCAAAGAGCAAGGATAGAGAACATGGCTTTGCTGCCAAAGCCAACAGCTACTGCCTGTTCCACTCACTCTTTTCTAGCTCATTCCTTGGATTATGCTCCACTATTATTAGTTCACAGGATCAAGTCAGTCACCATCAAACACCTGAGCAGAACTTTCCGACCTTGTGTCCCTGTGCCCTGACCCCTGAACTCACTCCACACTTGCTCCTGGTCTCTGTTTGTCATTTCTGCTCAAACACCCAGTTCCCATCAGGACCCATCCTAGACTATCCTTTAAAAGGGAAGTATCAGAGAAAACTTTCCTAGGTGGAGCAATGTAAGACTGTACAGCTGGAAGAGACTCAGAACCCACATCTCCCCAGGTTTGTCAGGGAGTCAGCTGGTGAGTGAGGAACAAGGAGAGACGCCAGGGGGTCTGTAACTTCCGATCTTATGTCTGTCCATAATGAAGCGCAGCTGCTCAGTTCACATGTGAGAAAGCATGCTTCTCATAGACACACAGTAGGAGGCCTCACATTCTCTGAGCCCCCAAATTCTCATACATCTATCTTGTGACACATACAC